TCTAAAATCTAAATTACTTATTTAAACGTGTTATCAGCTATAATACCTTAATTTGAATACAAATTAAATTAATCTATTATTTTTTAAAACAAGACGCATGACCCAACTCAATGGCGTATCGTTGAGGGATTTCCGTCTCACTGGGAAAGTGGGAATTACATTCATATGTATATATTTACCATGAACTTTTATACGAAAAAAAATACTAAAGTATAAATTAGACAGTTGTTGAAAAAGTAATTGTATCACGATATAGATAAAGTATAATGTTAGACAAATCAAAAATTGTGATATATACACGTTGAACACTTTCAGAATTGTATTTTCAATCTCTTTAATGGATACAAGTGATTTCGGGGGTTTGGTGTTGTGTGATCAGCTGCCAATTTAAATCGTCAAATGCGGTTTTAAATTTGAAATAAAAAAAAACCACTTGAAAAAAAAAACCTGTAAATACCCGCAACCGCGTTTTAAGCATAACATAATTTTATAACAAACGGTGTTTCAGCTGTTAAAAAAGATCGACTTGACATGCCTGACGACGCCAATGAGCCGACTACAGTATCTGGCCGTGGACTACGACGAGACGGACGGCAAGTGTTACGTGTACGTGTCGGACGCGGCCAATCGGGCGGTGGTCGCATACGACTTGGTCGAGTCGAAGGGATGGCGGGTGTTGTTGCCCAAGGAGATCGCGGCGGGGTGCACGAAGCGTGACGTGCTGTACGCGACACTCGTCCGGGCAGAGTGTGGCGGCGGCGCGGCGGCACTGATCGTCACGTACTTGTCCGGCGCCAGGGCGTTTACGGTTCGAGCCGAGTATCTGCGCAGAGGTTCTGCAGGAAAAGTGACCGACTTAGGCGTCAAACCGGACAAAATGGTAGGTACCTACGCGGCGACCTTTTCGTACACGATATTATTGTTAGTATATTATATGTATAGAACTGCTATTGCGCAGGAGCACATTTATATAGGTACGACGACGGACGAGAGGGCGTGACTTGTAATTTTGTTTTTCCCCGAGACATCATACATATCGTAAGAAGTATTAAGATATACTTAAAGATTAAGTACCTATTACAAAAGTGTTATAAAAAAAAAACCAAAAAATGTGTGTTAACGATCGATCTCGAATCTTTGACCCATATGAAGTCTGAAAAGACGCGTTAATTTTTAATGCATTGTGAGTAAGCTATTATTTAGCTCCTKACGGTTATGCAGTTATACTTTATCTTTGTGTCACACATAGTGCTGTGCCATWATATGTGCACTTGATATTATTTTAAGCAGTAGATCAAAATATTCAAAAATAATTACATTTATGAAMTAAAAATAATGGACAACACTTTTGAAACCTAATAAATGTACTGTCGTTTATTTGTTAATTTTCATTTTTCATTATGGAAAATAATATTTAGATGAAAAGTACACATAACGTGTATGAACGCAAACGTAGTCAAACCTCAGGAAGTAATTTTTATTATCGTGTCAGGAATTTAAGTTTTTTTTAATGAAAAATGTATGGGGTAAGTAGGAGGAGTTTGGTAACTGATGTTAATACTTTAATAAGTAAAGTAAAAAGAAATATAGCAATGGTTGCGCTAATTATAGGGAATATTTAATAACTATTAATAAGGGGTTATAATTTGCAATATAATATACACATCACACACATCAATGTAAATTCAATTAAAATTTTCTTAAACGAAGACTTCGTAGTTATTGTCTGTACTATTAACTTAACATATCTATTATTTGAAATTTTTATTTTTATTTTATTTTACATGAGTAAACGTTCTAAAATATGCATTTGAAGGCCTATTCCAACTATTTATGTTCTAAATATATTAATTAATGATACAAGTTAAAAATGTCTATAATTCTAACTATAAGGTTATACCTGCGTTTAAGATTAATATACCAAA